GAGTGGGGATCGACCTATTACGCCACATCGATCCTAACGAGGGAGGATCAGTTCAACAATATCAATCATCCTTTCCGAACGGTGCCCTTTGCATTCTACGAGCAAATAGAGTTCATGTTCGGAAAACTAAGTTTTAGTTTATATAGCGATTACGTATTGATTATTTAGTAGTGTCGCGTATGTCGTCGTTATAAAAAGTGCAAATTAATTATTGTAAGTTTTATTAGTTATTGTAGGATTTATTAAGTATTGTAGATATTATTAATTATTGTAGGTTTTATTTGATATTGTAGATTTTATTAATTATTGGAAGTTTTATTAAATATTGTCGATTTTATTCATTATTGCAGGTTTTATTAAATATTGTAGGTTTTATTAATTATAGCGTGTTAAACATTAGTATAAAAGTTAGTGTTAAATAGTTTCAAATTGATTATTTTGAGTGTTAGTTTTGTGTAACCTGTAGAGTGTTAAACCCAACAGAGGAACAGCTCGCGGGTCTACTTAATCGCGCAGTGTGTGAATATTTTTCGCGGTCGGGACAATTGCGCAGTGTGTATGGACATTTTTCGCGGATGTGACAATCGCTCAGTGTGTGTGGGCACTTTTCGCGGACTTCTTTGGTGTACGTGCATGTGCGGATTAATTCCATGGATACTCGTGGACAGGACAATTGTGATACGTGACAACTAGAGGGGGCATTAACCCTCTCTACTCGATAATATTCGTAAGAAGATATTTACATTTCTTGCGAATTTTATCGAGTAATCAGGATTAATGCGATACAGGTGGATTCGACTCAAATACCGCGGGCACAAGTTATCGACATCTTCTACGGGGTAAGTAAACAGCTGTTCTACCGACTTTTCCTGCACGTCGTTGAGTCTTTAAAGTGACTGCATGCCCCTGATGAGCCGTGATCCGCTGACACTCCGTGCGCGCGGATTGCCATGATTTGGGTCAATTTTTAAACGCTTACAACTAACAAACGAAGCATTTTTCGCAATTTCGTTATTTTTGATTTTCGTCTTATTTTGCCTCAAAGAATTACCCCTTAAATTTTTTCCCATTAGTTGTCGAACACCCTGTATATGTGTAAGTATATAACACCTGCATCAATTAGGACAATAAATGATAAATAACTATTGTTTCTCGGGAATGCCATTTCACGTATTTCGTATGTAATTTCATTAATGAAAAGAAATAAACATCATTGTAAGTACGAATAGAAAAGGTTTATCGTTGCACACATTAGAACGTAAATATTTTCATTCTCGAATCTCTTTCGATCGCGCTATTCTTTTCCTACATTCGGCGAGAATCGAAATTTCGCCACGAGCCGTAGGCCATAGGTATTCCATCGTTCTCCTGATGGGCAAAATTGTAATGCGGGACATGAGGCAACGGTGTAAGAAAAGTCGATACTGTCCGGCAACAATTCCTTCGCGTAGCAGATACACAAACCTAACTCGATGGTAACGGGGAAGAAAACTTATTTGTAGGTACTGCCGTTAGATGTCGTATTATCAAGCTGTCCCAATTATCGATTATGTATTTTCGCTAGCGTTCGATTCTTTAGATCAGCGCTTCGATTGATTGGGAGTTGGCCCGAAAGGAGTCTCCTCCCTTAAATCCATGCCGAACAACATACCAGCGTGCTAGCTAGTTGAACAAATTTTCATTAAATACACCGTCACGAAACTTTGACCAATAAATCAATGAGATTTTTTTATAAAAGTAACATTACATTAAATGTTTTTTTCGGATAATTGAAACTAATAATTATAATATGTCCTTGCAATATTCAATATTATGAATGTATGTGTCTTAATTCATTACAACTACTGACCTAATATGTATTATATTCCTTATAAGAGACTGTAAGATGTTCCGACGCTAGATCGTAAATTCAAATCACGTAATAGCAATAGCAAATGTTCCCAAAATTGTCAGATAATGAATAGATTAAATGTTAAACCTATATATCAATGTAAAAACATTCCCTAGATGTATTTAAAAGCATTACATTTTTAAAATCTTCAAATAACAGCTACAGCAAGACATTTTAAAACTAGGTTTGTAAGTTTACTTCTGATTTATGAAGTTACTGATCATGAAAGTGTAACAAATTTCGGAATAACATCGTGTTAAAAGTTTCGCACGTATGCATATAATGAAAAACAAAATTTGTTTACAGTAATAGTGAAATATAAATAAGACTACAAGTGAAATCATCCGATAGGTTATTTGGCGGGTAATAGTCAGAACTGAAAGGGATAATACATGACTATTTTCCGAAAAATGAAAACAAGCGAATATTGAAGCGTTGCACTTGTTCATATTAATGTTATATAAAAGCTGTTCAGCTATAAGCGTTAACTTACAGCTGATAAAGTATCACATTTTATCAATTGGAAGTTGCAACGTAACTAAATTTTGAGTGGTTGCATTGGAATTGATAAGTATGGTTGGTCTAAATTTATACCTTTATCAACGAAAGACCAACTGCTGTAGGCTTAATATTTCCCAACAGTGTTTTACATATCCTTCGGATGAATTGATGTGGGAGCACGAAAATGAGGATGTCCGCATCCTTTGCAGCTTCTACTACATCGGGAATGGCAACCTAGAGCATCACAACAACATACAGTATTAATTTCCATTTAGTTGTTAAAGAAAATATAGTGATTTTGTAAATCTTATGTGAAGTGAAACTGTGTATATAATATGTATGTGTAAGTCGCATGTATATTTAGCGCATAAACATTCTCTATTATCAATTTAAAACATGAAAAGTAAAAAGAATTACTAATTCGGGCTTAAATTAATTTTTGGAAAAAATTTAGAATGAAGGAGGCAGCTCCAATGATCTTGACCTTTACATATATTATGAACGTCACCCTCCTCAGTGACTGTTTCGACCCACTCGTGAGTGGGGGAGAGAATTTGGGTCACCAAAAAATGCAAGGTGCTCTCAGAATGTTCGTGCACAGACACAGTTTATTCGCCGATAGGCTCGTCTCAATAAACAGTTTAATAGTCAAAATTACGGCACAAAACGATGACGAATACAGCACGATGGAGACTTTACAAGTCGCTTTGCAGTAAAACGATACCGCAACGGTATGTACAAACTTTAATAGACGCGAGAATGTTCTTGGTAAAATGCACGCAAGTAACAATTCGGTTTTGATACGTGTTATCGCTCGTGGAGTTCAAATAGTTCTGCTGACTTTGAGTTGCGCTTAGATCGCAACGGTTGACAGTGCGTGCGACCGTTGGCTCGCCAACGGTTCGCGCGAGTTTTTGCATGGCGATCACGTGTTTACTCGATCGCATCGCGGACGTTTAAACGGTGGGATTTGAATTCGGTGAACCGCCGAATCGTGGAAACAGTGACGTTCTGAAGGGTTAGCCGTCGCTCGTATTTTATTAAAAAGTTATGAACAAAAAAGTCTGTAAAATGTAGCAGTTATTTTCAGTATTGAAGGGCTCCGATGATCTTAACCTTGACATATATTGTAAATGTCACCTTCCTGAGTGATCTTAAGAAAATTATAGCAGTGGCACGTTATATATTAAAAAGTGATTAACAAATAAATTTCACAATATAAAGGTATATGTTTAACTTTATAAGTTAAATCTTACCTAGTATAAACATTTTATTATTAACATATCTGCTTCTTCAAGAATTTGCTTTGACGGGGGAGTTTGCGGAGGCGGCTGCGCCCCTCTCCTTGCACACCCAACCCGAGAAAAATCTAGCTCTAACCTAACACGACTTCATTTCTGAGTAAATTAAAATGAAGTTAGGGTTAGGTTAGAGCTATACGAAGTAATGCCTGTATCATGTGTATAAGGGTTGAACTAGATGTAGGTTGCAGTTATAAGATTGCTAGGAGTAAGAAGAAATAAGGGAAAAAAAAGAGAAAAATAATAATAAAAAATAAAAAAAAAACAAACAACAAAACAACAACAACAAAAAAGAGAAAAGAAGTAATTATAATAAATAATGGTAATGCAATATAGATGCCAGATAAATAAATAAATACAATTATTAAGCAGGCAATTATGGGAAACGAGAAAATAAAATGGTAAGTGAGGAATGATGTTATGTAAATATAGAAATAAGAAACGGGGTAAGTGATTAAGTCATTAAGACAATGTGATTCCGTCCTCGATATAGGAGGGTACTTAGGGATATGTATTGGGAGTTGTATGACAGAGCTAGTGTTTACTTTACGATGAGATCACGAGAACCACCTGTGGAGAGAATGGGAGAAGAGTTAGAAGGATCGGTGACTTCATGCACTCTGCCCAGAATATTCTCTTCATCCCCCCCGGAACCGGGAAAACTATGGGCTTATAGTTTGTCTTGATGATAGGACAGGATATCCTAGGAATTTACATTGGTCGTGTAAATAGGATAAAACACGGATTCGGCCTCGTAAGAGGAAGTACGGTGGGATACGGTCTGGGATTGATCTGAGATTTGGGTATGAGATTGCCAGGATCTAGGATCAAGTAGACCGGCCGTGAAGAGATAGCGTGTAGGACGAGATAGATGGGGAACCCTGTTGAATCCAGGCACGGAAATATCTCTCAGCCCCCCCCCCCCGAACCTCGGGAGAAGGTTGGCTTTCGAAATGCACTTCTGTACGGGAGAGAGGGTGTCGTATTATCGGATCAGTGGAGGACGTGGAATGCGAGGGTACCAAGAAATGGGCATGAGACTTGACCTAAGTTTGATACTCGTAGACCGCCGTAGACGGGAAGTTGGGGGTGATTTGCTAGTATTGCAACACACAGGTCACAATACTTCCCGTGGTCCTTAGGTTAAGTTAACACACCGAAATGGGACACTGTTGCTGGCGTCGATGGGGGTACACCGAGACGCACCTGTAATAGCAACAGAATAGTGTCTGGTTTCGACAGATTAATTGAACGTTTCAGTACAATGGAAAAGGATGCGTGGTCACACATCAAACTGGAAGGATCTATCAATAGTTCCAAACAGGGAGAGAGACAAGTAGACAAAGAACAGGATTGCTCATTTGGGCTCGAGGGACGGGAGGGGGGGGGGGCATATCGGGTTGGTACTCTTCGGAGGACTGATCGTGCAATTGAGTAGATTTATACGCGACGGGGCCCGGATCCGATACCGATCAGCGGAGCGTATACTGGTAACCCGAGTCTCGGAAGGATGAAGAGCATCCCTTTGCGAGATATCGGCCCAACGAGCTGCGTGACCATCGTAGTTCGGAAGGCAGTCTATTGCGGACGAAGCTCCGAACGTATCAGTAAGGCATTACTAAAACAGGCCTCGCCTTAACAGGCACGTGCCGGTAAAAACCATGGCCCTAGAACACAGTCGTCAACGGGTCATGGGGCGCTTGGCAGACGCTGCAACGTCCGTGGTATGTCGGAGATAGAGGGCATCAATCTTAGAGAATGATGCGATAACAGACCCAGAACGCGGGGGATGGCTCCTGATGTAACTGATATTTACTCCTCAGAGAAATTTCGGTAAAGTCCGGTGGGTTATCTTTCTGCGTCTTGTTCCTTGTACACACTAGGGAGCGGGTATACGTGATCTACTCTACTTCGTTTTCACCACTCTAAATTCACAACCCATCTTTTCATTAGACTAAAATCACTTGGCGATGGATTCATTTATGGTCCATTGCAGCTCCCAGGGGAGGTGATCGATGAACCCGACCACGTCACTTCTTGAGCTCGGCTAAAAAGGCCTCTCCATGTATCGCTATTGTAGTCTCGGGACTCCCTCCTTGACCTTGATTGGGGGGTGGTAATTTGACAAAGGGTAAACAGAGGAGGGGAGGTTCCTGAATTACTCGGGACATAGGTAGGTAACGATAGGGGGTTGAAAGAGGCGATACAGCTCTCCCTCAATAATAATAGTACATACGATGATTACCACCCTTGTACATACTCGGTCTGTGGGTGAAGCAAAGAGTGAGCTGGTACTCACTTCAGGAGACGAAGGAGCGGTTGCTCCGACGTCCATACTCCTTTAACTAATATATTAGGTAGGGATGGGACGATCCTTGTAACTCTCCGCCCCCGCACGAGTACTTCCCCACCTCCATGTGGCCCAGGCCTGAAAAAGTTGGGACGGTTGGCAAGTCAGGGGAAACAGCCTCCCCGGGTAACGTCAACTGTAGTCCTATTGCAGGGCTACGAGATAGCTACAGACGCTTGAGTCACAGCTGGGCCTTGGGGGGAAAATCGCACTTCCCCTCCCCTGGGAGACCTTTTTTTTTTTTTTTTACGCGGGGGAAATGCATTATGCACACCTCGAAGTCCTGGGGTGGGACTCCGAGGTAGTGTGGGACTCTTACCCACTAAAACCCCCGCGGCAGCCTACTCGGGCGGAACTCGGTGGTGGCGGGATCTCGTGTGAACGCAACGCCACCACCGCGCCTATGCTCCCCTTATCGGGGAGCTCGTTCCGTGGGGGCGATCGAACGCCCCCCAGAGGTGACCACTGCCCTGGTCACCCCTAGGGGACTGCACCCTGACGTCGGCACTACCGGACCGCTTTGGATGCAGTCGGGGACCCCACCCCGACCGTATCAGCGGCCCCGGCGGACGCGCGCGCGAAGGCGCGAGCCACAGGAACCGAAGCTCCGGCTCCCGATATCCACGCACGCGTCCACCCATACACGCAGGCCTCGCCTGCCGGAGAGCGAGGAGACGCCTACGGGGGAGGAATCTGTCCTCCCCCGCCGGCGTCGTCGGGGCCGGCTGTGCGGGCCCCACGGCCCCGACCCCGACCCCGCCTCGCTCTCCTCCTCTCTCGACGAGCGGGATCGCGCGCCTCGCGGTCCCGCTCGTCGTCCTCCTTCCGCGAGATGACGGTCTCGCAGAAGGAGGACACCGCCCTCCACGACCTCTCGCTCCCCACCATGGCCGCAACCACGGCCGGGAGCGAGAGGTCTCCCCCTACCGCTAGACGGAGCACCCGCCTCTCCCTGGCAAAGGCCGGGCACTCCTCCAGCACGTGCTGCGCGGAGTCGACCTCCGCGCAGCACTGATGGCACTCTGCCGTCGCCTCGGCTCCTACTTTCCGCAGGTACTCACCGAAGCAACCATGCCCAGTGAGCACCTGCGTGAGCCGGTAGGTTAGCCTGCCATGCCGACGGTCCAGCCATCCATCGAGGACGGGCAGGACCGCGCCCACGGCTCGCTGCCGGGCGGCGCCACTGTCAAACAGCTGGCGCCGCCACTTTTCGCGAGCGAGCCGCCGGCTCTGGCGCTTCAACACTCCGACCGCGTCGTCCGGCGGGTCGACCCCCTAGGAGACCTTGTACTAAACTAAACTAAACTAGGTTAAAGCTAAATCGAAATTCCCCTCTCCCGGGAAACCACGTTCTAAACTAAACTAAACTAGGTTAGAACTAGATTTTTTTCAGGGCGGGGATGCAGGGGGAGGGGCGAAGCCCACGCATTCACTTACAGAAGCAGATATGTTAATAATATAGTGTTTATACTAGGTAAGATTTAAATTATAAAGTTAAACATACACCGTTATATTGCAAAATTTATTTGTTAATGATTTTCTAGCAAATAAAGAGCTACGGCTAAAACCTTCTGAAGGTCACT